GGGTGAGGATCGGGCGAAGCTACGAGGCAGAGAAAGAGAGAAGCACGAGTTGCGAAGCTGGGGGGCAGAGTAGGAGACGAGAAGCGAAGGATTGATCGGAGGGTCCGAGCACGGGAGAGCCCTTGAGCGGCTCACCCAACAAAACAACGTTACAGCAACGAAACGAAGTGAAACAACAGGAGCAACAACACCACGAGCGAGCCCGCGAAACGAGAGCAGAGTAGGAGATGAGAGAGCATAGGATGAGAGAGAGAGGAGGAGAGAGACGAGGGATCTGAGTGAGGAACTAGAGACGCGATAACGCCAACGGACTGAGACGAAGACCTGGGAAGAGAGAGAGAGGAAATCCAAAGTAAGAACAGAGGGAGAGAGAGAGGGAACGAGATGGGTAAGCGTGTAGAAGCAACGAGGAGGTATGAGAGGAAAGGAAGGGTGAAGAAGAAAAATGATCAAGGGAGAAAGAGGGCTAGGAGGGATCGAAAAGGAAACGGAGGAAGAGGGCTCGAGGAAGACATGTAGGAAAGGAAGAGGAGAGCGGGGGAAACGGGAAAATGAGAGGTTGCGAGAAGGGAAAAGAAAACCGGAGGACTGACTTAAGCGCGACGAGAAAGAGAGAGACAAAAGGAAAAAGAGATTATGAGTATGGAGGATGATTAACAGGAGAGAGACAGATCGATAGATAGACAGGTAGATAGAGAAAGATGGATAGATACAATGCATGTATATTCACTCTGTGCATGAATAGTTATACATCCGTTCATACATGCCATGGTGTGTCTGGTTCCACTTCCATGCATTTCCATACATTTATGCATGCAATCTCCCCATGGATGAATGAATGCAACAGTGCAATATCCTGCGTGCAAACAACCACAAACGAAACAATATGAAAAAGCCAGAACAGAATCTCTATCTTGTGTTCAGCCAGGCAGGGAAATCAGCTGTTTTGTCACGTGGTTGTGTTTGTGGGTGTTTCTTGTTATTGGCGGGGTGTCTTTGTTCTTTGGGGAGATGGGGGGGTGGGAGAAGCGTCCTGTGGGTTGAATTTTGTTTGTTTTGTTTGTGTTTTTTTTGTCGTTTTTTTTGTTTGTTTGTTTGTTTGTCAAATAAACAAAACACGCATGCATACGTATACCACACACACATAGACAAACAACACACACACAGATACAAACACAAACACACATACACACACACACACTTACCAAAACACACATACGCACACACACACAAAACACACACACACACACTCACACTCAAACACAAACTCACACAAACACACACTCACACACAAGCACAAACACACACAGAACACACACAAACGAACACACACCAAAACACAAAACACATACCTTTAAAAAAAAAAAAAAAAAAAAAAAAAAAAAAAAAAAAAAAAAAAAATCTACCACCCCCTCTCACTAAACCATCCATCCATTCTCTCCCCCCCCCCCCCCCCAAAAAAAAAAAAAAAAAAAAAAAAAAAAAAAAAAAAAAAAAAAAAAAAAAACAGATCCTCGACATGGACAACCTGCCAGCCACCAACTTCACCTGCAAAGAGAAGGTCATTGGCGGATACTATGCGGATGTCTACACGGGCTGCCAGATGTTCCACGTGTGCACACTCGACGAGAAAGGTGAGAAAGAGACCGCTGGGTTATTATTTCTTTCTCTTTTTTTTTCTTTCTCTTTTCTTTCCTTCTGTCTTTCTTTCTTTCTCTTTCTCTCTTTCTTTGTTTGTGTGTTTGTTTGTTTCTTTCTTTTCTTTCTTTCTATCTCTCTCTCTCTCTCTCTCTCTCTCTCTCTCTCTCTCTCTCTCTCTCTCTCTCTCTCTCTCTCTCTCTCTCTCTCTCTCTCTCTCTCTCTCTCTCTCTTTCTCTCTCTCTCTCTCTCGCTCTCGCTCTCCTCTCTCGCTCTCTCTCTCTCTCTCTCTCTCTCTCTCTCTCTCTCTCTCTCTCTCTCTCTCTCTCTCTCTCTCTCTCTCTCTCTCTCTCTCTCTCTCTCTCTCTCTCTCTCTCTCTCTCTCTCTCTCTCTCTCTCTCTCTCTCTCTCTCTCTCTCTCTCTCTCTCTCTCTCTCTCTCTCTCTCCTCTCTCTCTCTCTCTCTCTCTCTCTCTCTCTCTCTCTCTCTTGTTTTTTTCTTTCTTTTTTATTGGGAAAGGGTGTTCACTAGGTTATGAATATTTTTTTTGTGATATTAGTAATAGTAGTTTAGTAATGATAATGATAATAATGATAATAGTAATATTAATGAGGATGATGGAAATGATAATAATAGTAATAATGATAATGATGATAATGATCATATCGACTGCAGTGATAATGAGTAAATAGCATAATAATGAAATGATGATTGATAGCAATAAATGATAATGATGATAATAATGATGATGACATTACCAATGATGATAATAATGACCATGATAATAAGAATGATAACAACAAAAATGATAAAGATCATATTCGCAACCAAGAACAACAGTAATAAAAGATAATGATACTGATAAAAGTGAAAGATGAACCCAACAAAATAAAAATATTATTACTCTTATAAGATATTACTATTATTATTATTATCATTGTTACTACAACTACTACTATTACCCTCACCGTCCCATTCCCCCTCACTCTCACCCTCCCATTTCCCCTCTCACCCTCTCCCTAATTCACCCTCTCCCATTCACCCTCACTCCCTCACCCTCTCACCCCCACCCTCTCACCCCCACTCCCTCCCATTCCCTCTCACCCTCTCCCATCCACCCTCACCCTCCCATCCCCCACTCCCTCTCACCCTCCCATCCCCCCCCTCACCCTCTCACCCCACCCTCTCACCCTCCCATTCCCCGTCCCATATCCCACCTCTCACCCTCTCCCATCCCCCCTCACTCCCCCCCTCCCTCCCATTTCCCCCCCTCACCCTCCCATTCCCCTCTCCACCCTCCAATTCCCCCTCACCCTCTCACCCCCACCCTCTCACCCTCCCTCTCACCCCCTCCCATCCCATCCCCCTCACTCCCTCTCACCCTCCAATTCCCCTCTCACCCTCTCACCCCAACCCTCTCACCCCCACCCTCTCACCCACCCCCTCTCTCACCCCCACTCCCCCCCCCCACCCTCCCATCCATCCCCCTCTCACCCTCTCTCACCCTCACCCCCTTCTTCCACCCTCACCCCCCTCACTCACCCTCACCCCCTCCCAAACCCTCCCATTCCCCCACCCCCTCTCACCCTCCATCCCCCTCCCCCATCCCCACCCTCTCACCCTCACCCTCCACCCTCCCCCATCCCCCTCACCCTCCCATTCCCCCTTCTCACCCCCTCTCACCCCTCCCATTCCCCCTCTCACCCCCTCTCACCCTCCCCCCCCTCTCCCTCCCGCAGGCGAGATCCACGACTACAAGTTCCGCTGCCTCATGGGGACGGTGTTCGACCAGGAGACGCGCGTGTGCGAGCGCGCGGACGACGTCGACTGCAGCAGGTCCGAGTCGTTCTTCCACCTCAACAACGAGCTGTACGGACCCGGCATCATCCCGTCCACGGCGTGAGTCTCCCGTGTTTTTTTTCGTGTTTTTTTCGTGTTTTTTTTTCGTTTTTTTTTTTTTTTTTTTTTTTTTTTTTTTTTTGGGGGGGTGTTGGTTTCTTTGGTGGTGGTGTGGTGATTTTTTTTTCGTTTTTTTTTTCGTTTTTTTTTTTGGGGGGGGGTTGTTCTTTTTTGTGGTGTGGTGTGTTGATTTTATTTTGTTTTTTTTTATTTTGTTGCTGTTATTGTTGTGGTATTGTTTTTACTTATTATTATTATTATTATTATTATTATTATCAATATTATTATTATTATTATCAATATTACTATTATTATTATTATTAATATTATATTATTATTATTATTATTATATTATTATTATTATTATTATTATATTTATTATTATCTCATCATCATTATTATTATCATTATTATTATTGTTATCATTATTATTATTATCATCATCATCATCATCATTATTATTACCATAATTATCATCATCATTGAAATAATTATCATAGTTTTTGCTGTTACTATCAACATTGTTATATAAATTTGATTCATAATTATTTCATGAATTAATTGACCCATCTATGTGTTTATTAATTTTCTCGTTTTTTTTTTCATTTTCTTGTTTGTTTGTTTTTTTCTTTAATGATTTCTTTAATATATGTATTTTTAATGTTGATTCTGACTTCCCTAATTTATTGTATTATTTCGTATCATGTATTCCTTTTTAAGTGCAATTTATTTTTAGGTTTGCATTTTTTTTTTTTTATATTAGGAATAGTTATAGGTTAGGTTAGTTGTAAGTAGCTATGTTATAATATGAAAAAAAAAAATACTTGGGAAAATATATTTAGTTATTTTTCTTCATTTTTCACTTCAATATTTTTCTTCAGAACATTTCTTCCAATCACTGTCCTGTATAACAAATATTTGCTACTAATAACTGGCAGTAAATAAACCATTTTGTATAATTTCATTCACTGTTTCATATTTATTAATTTTCATGTCTAAATAATCATTCATTTATTTTATGATTTTGTGTTTGTTTGTTTGTTTGTTTTTAGTTTTATTTAACCATTTTGAAATTTTAATTCGATTAAATGATATATGTTATTTTTATGATATCAAAATCCATTGTTTTTTTCTTTTTTTCCATTTCTGTTTTTTTCACTTTGAAACGCACTTCATGACAAGAAATATCAATATTAATAAAATTAATATTAAATATATCATTAATATTAAATATATCAATCTCACATTCATTTAAAAAGTGTGTCTGGAACCCATTCTATTAAATATAGATAAAATAATAGTTATTTTTAGTCAGTGATTGTATATAACAATATATATAACAAATTGTACATAATTGTAAATATTCGTGAGCCGCCTTTGAAGTATATTCTGTATATCACATATTTTGTTTAATAGTAAGCATTTATTTATTTAGTTATTTTGCTTTTTTTTTAGAATTTATCACCCGAATGTGCTGCTCAAAAAAAATCAACAGAGGAATTTATATTATACAGTATATTCTGCACGCCATCACAATGTATATATATATATATCCATACGAGAGTTCACTTATTTTCCCTATTTTTTCTTTGCTCTGTTTCATTCATTGCACGTCTGTTATTTTATGGTGAAAATCAGCGCTGTTATGTTGCTTTTATTTCTTAACTTTTATTTTCCCAAATATGTATTCACGGGGGTCTATTTTTTATTTCTTTTTTTCTCGTGAGGTTTCAAAGGAAAGTCTGTGCAATTTTTTTCCTTTTCTTTTTCTCTGTGGATGGATCTGAATTTGCCGGTTTTTGATTATCATTTAGATATGTAGATTATCATATGGAGTTTTATCTCTTTTTTTCTTTTTTTTAACTACTCGGTGGTCCAAATTTTTGTAATGAAATTTACATTGTTGAAGGCATTTGCATATGTATTTCCATTTTTTTCAACTTTATTTTTCATTGCACACAGTATTCCGTTTCATTTTTAAGTGCATAGGTAATATTCAACTTAAATTTTGAATTGCGTTAACAATATTCCAATTGATTTTTCATTGCATGGTCAATATCCAAATATCCAACTTTATTCTTTGTTTTTATTGCATACAAAATATCCAACATTATTTTTCATTGCATAGTATTCAATTTGGTTTCATTATTGCAAACACAGTATTCAATTTGTTTCATTATTGCAAACACAGTATTCAATTTGGTTTCATTATTGCAAACACAGTATTCAATTTGGTTTCATTATTGCAAAACAGTATTCAATTTGGTTCCATTATTGCAAACACAGTATTCCAATTTGGTTTCATTATTGCAAACACAATTTAGTTCCATCATTTCAACCGACGGGTCCATCCTCAGCGTCTGCAACGTTGCCCGGGCTTTCCTTCCTCAGAAATCGCCACTTTTCCTGAAGGCATCAACCAGCATTCACGACCTCTTCCTGGCATCACTCAGGTCACGCTTGCCATTCACTCTTGCCGTGTCTGTGTCCCTTCGCTCTGGGGTTCGCCGCCTGATTCTCGTGACCCCTTCCTATCTTGTCTGTTCCTTCCCCCTCAGAGACACTTCGGACACCTCCAGCGCCGCCACCGTGCAGGTCTTGGATCCCACTCACGCCCTTATGGGAGTCCCCGACCCCCACTCAGATCTTAGTGCCACTTCGGAAGTTCCTCCTTCGCTTCCTTCTCCCTCTCACCCTCCTGTCCCCGCTCCTCTTCCCGCCGCTGATGCTGCTCTCCCCCGCTCCCTGGGGTCCCCCTCCTCTTCTCCCTCCGCCCCGCAAGCCTCCCCCCAACCGCAGTCCCTGTCTCAGCCCCAGCCCTCCCCACGAGCTCCCCCCCTCCCCCCGTCATTCCCCCGGGGGTGACGGCGTCCTCCACCCGGATGTCGACCTCCACCTCGTCCTCGGTCACGGCCGCCTACTCCTTCCCCCCCTTGCCCTTCACCGTGAGCAGAACCTCCACCTCTGTCTCGGCTTCTTCGCGCGTCCACATCCAGACGCCCCTCGCGCAGATCTCGCTCCGGCAGGGCGTGGACGCCTCCGCCCCTGCCTGCGCCCCACCTCCGCCCCTCCCTCCTGCGCCTCGCCGCCCAGGCCCAGAGCACGGGGCAGGGCCAGCAGTTCCTGGACGCCCTGGAGCCCACCCCGCCCTCCCCCGTCACGGCGCAGACGCCCCCCGACTTCGAGGACATCCCCCGACTGACCCGCTTTCAGACCGACGCCTCTGCTCCTCTCTCTACTCTCACTAACTCTGACGACTCTCCTCACAGGCAGAAGAGGCAGACCACGACGCAGGGACTCGCTTTTTCTTCCTCCTTGCCTGTACAGGACGAGACTCTCCCCACAGAGCCTGCAGCGGCTCCCTCGCAGGGCAGTAGGGACCCGACACTTACCTCTAGTAGGCAGAGAGTTTCCTCGAGGGGCCGCGTCAGGTTCAGGCAGCCTAACCCTTCTAGCGAACCAGTTACTAACAGACAAACCTCGAGGTCAGATCGCAGGAATCCCAGTAGGGCAGCAGCTGTAGACACTAGGCAGAGAACCCCTCAGACCGCCAGACCCTCCTCCCACAGACGAGTCCAAACTAGCTTGAGCCCCAGAACCGAAGGGGTCAGCCAGGTAGGAGAAACCACCGTAGCTAGACAGCAGGAAGCCCCAGTCACGAGAGAGACCCCCGCCGCGCCCCTCAGACAGAGAGTCAGTGTGACCCCGAGATCCCAGACAGCTAGGGCAGGCCAGCGGGGCGCGCAGGTGGTTAGACGTAGGCCGGTTCCCCCGCCCTCAGCGCCGGACGCCGAGCTCCGCAGCCAGGTAGACCTAGGTACCCAGAGCCACCCCGAAGACCCCCCTCAGCTCCCTCCCACGGTCATGACAACGCCATTACCCTCTGACAGCAATATCAGGATCAGTGACACGATCGACGACGACCCGACGGCGGTGTTCGGACCCGTCAACGCCGCGCCCTCCACGACCACCCAGCCGCCCTTCGTGTTCCCCGAGACGACCTTCTCCTGCCACGACAAGATCCCCGGGGGTCTCTACGCCGACGTGGAAACGGGCTGCGTCGTGTTCCACATCTGCTCCGTGGAACCGGACTCAAGGTGGGTGGCCCTGTTGAATGACCTTTTCTTAATCATGTTTTGTAATGATTAAAGAAAGGTCGTCTCCCAACCTTTCTTTAATCATTACAAAACATTATATTACCGCCTGTCTATTGAATTCATCTTTAAATAATGTAGGGAAAATAATACTAGTCCCTCTTAAGATATTACAGAACATTATATTCCCGCCTGTCTATTGAATGAATCTTTAAATTAATGTAGGGAAAATAATACTAGTCCCTTTAAAGATATTACAGAACATTATATTACCGCCTGTCTATTGAATTAATCTTTAAATAATGTAGGGAAAATAATACTAGTCCCACCTAAGATAGAAACAAAAAGAGGTAAACAAGAAAAAAGAAAACGTACAAATCCCCAACACTCCAAAACAAACATGAAACACACAGCAACTCTCACTCCAGCCCTTCCAAAAAAAACGAAAAGAAAAACACATACTTTATCCACAGAAAATCCTCTCTCCCTCTCTCTCTCTCCAAGTCTTTACACCAACCCTCTCTCTCTCTCTCTCTCTAAGTCTTTACACCAACCCTCCCTCTCTCTCTCTCCAAGTCTTTAGCTCTCTCTCTCTCTCAAGTCTTTACACCAACCCTTCCCTCTCTCTCTCTCTTCTTCTTTACACCAACCCTCCCTCTCTCTCTCTCTCCAAGTCTTTACACCAACCCTCCCTCTCTCTCTCTCTCTCTCTCAAGTCTTTCACCAACCCTCCCTCTCTCTCTCTAAGTCTTTACACCAACCCTCCCTCTCTCTCTCTCTCTCACTCTCCCTCTCCAAGTCTTTACACAACCCTCTCTCTCTCTCTCCCAGTCGTTACACCAACTCTCCCTCTCTCTCTCCCTCTCCAAGTCTTTACACCAACCCTCCCTCTCTCTCTCTCTCTCTCTCTCTCTCTCTCTCTCTCTCTCTCTCTCTCTCTCTCTCTCTCTCTCTCTCTCTCTCTCTCTCTCTCTCTCTCTCTCTCTCTCTCTCTCCCTCTCCAAGTCTTACACCAACCTCCCTCTCCTCAGTCTTTACACCAACCCTCCCTCTCTCTCTCTCTCCAAGTCTTTACACCAACCCTCCCTCTCTCTCTCTCTTTACACCAACCTCCCTCTCTCTCTCTCTCCAGTCGTTACACCAACTCTCCCTCTCCAAGTCTTTACACCAACCCTCCCTCTCCCTCTCCCCCACAGCACGAAGGACAACAAATTCGTGTGTGGCGCGGGGACACTCTTTGACCAGACGACCCGCACCTGCCAAGCGGAGCACCTGGTCGACTGCGCGCGCGCGCCCTCGCTCTACTACCTCAACGACCCCCTCAGAGGACCAGGTATGTGTGCTTTGGTTTGTTTTTTTCTTGTTTTGGTTATTTGCTTGTGTGTGTGTGTTTGGTTTGTTTTTATTTTTGTATTTTTTATTTTCCATTTGTATTTATTTTTTTATTGTTTTATTTATTTACGCGTTGTGTGTATGTGTGTATAGTTGTTGTTTTTATTGGTTGTATATACAGTTGTTAGCAACCTCTCTTTTATTTTTTTATGTTTTTTTATTTTTTTTATTTTTGTGTGTGTGTCTTTTAATTTCCCAATTTCTCTTTTTTTTCTTGATTACCTTTAATTTTCGGAAAATCTGTTTCATATTTATTTTCTGTGATTACACATCTTTTGATTATTTTCTGATAATACTTTTTCTTTGCTTTGAAATCTCCAAACTCTATCTAATCTTGGATATAATTTGCACTTATATTTGCTTGTGTGCGCGTGTGTGTGTATGTGTGCCTGTGCGTGTATGCTAGCGTGTGCACCTTCATGCTTATGTGTATACGTACATATGCGTGTTTTCATTTTCTCACTTGCATGTATATATTATATTTTTTCGTATACATGCGTCTGTAATCCTCATTCCTATCCATCTCAACTACTTTTTATCCAAACCATTTTACACTCGCTCTCCCTCTGATTCCCACCCATCCCAACCGCTCTTTTATCAAAACCATTTTATACTCGCTCTCCCTCTGATTCGTATCCATATCCACTTCTTTTATTTTATACTCACTCTCCCTCTAATTCCCACCCATCCCAACCGCTCTTTTATCCAAACCATTTTATACTCGCGCTCCCTCACCTCGAAGTCCCTCCTCCCTGCACGACCTCCATTTTGCTTCCAGTATTCGTGCAGCTCGAAGCCCAGTTGCCGGAGCAGCAGTTCGATTTCCCGCGCATTCCCATTCCCGATTCCCAAGATTCCCGAAGAGTCAAGCGAGATGAAGGTAATTTTTTTGCGATGAGAGGAGATGAGATAGAGAGATAAAAGGGAAATAGACGTATATGGAAATGAGACGAGAACGGAAGACAGAAATAAATGATGACAAAAATAGATGAATAATGATAATAGAATAATGATGACAAGAGAAATAATAGACGTATATGAAAATAAATGATGACAAAAATAGATAAATAATAATAATAGAATAAATGATGGAGCCAAGAGAAATAAAAAATGGAAGAGAAATACGAATGACAGAATGAGAGAGCGACGAGAATAAACGGCGAGAAAGACAATCACGAAAGACAGCCATGGCATAGACAGGAATAAATGCCGACAATAGGAAAATGGCGATGAAAACAAGACAAAAGAAGATACAGAAAGAAAGTTATGAAGAAAAATATGTATTAAATAAGACGAGAACGAAAGACAGAAATGGCAAAGACAGAGAGAATAGCGCGACGAAGGAAGATGACAATAAACAAGCAGAAGAGAGAGACAAAAAGAACGAAAGCCATTGCCAGAGAACATAACCGACTCATAAACAAAACAAAAGAAATAAACAAAGAACAAAACATGAAAAACAAAACAAATAAACAAAGAACAAAACGAAACAAACAAATGAAGAACAAAACAAAACGGAACGAAACAAGAACAAACAACAAAACGCAAAAAAAAAAAACGAAACAAAACAAGTCACAACAAAAAGTTGAAAACAGAAAACGGGATTTTTAACTGAATCCTCCCCCGTTTTCTTTCTATCTTTCCTCAATTCTTCTTTATCCAGCATTACTCATTTATCGTCTTTCTAATTTCCTCTTCTTATCCTCTGCGTCCTTTCATCCTCTCCCTCTTCCCCTTTCTTCTCTCCCTTCTACCCCTTCTTTCGTACATCAAACACAGACGATTTTTCTACCGTACCAAAAGACCTCTTTATAATGACCTCTATTATTGTTTTTTGTTTTATATCAATTTTTCTTCTCTCTTTATTAAGTGTATCTGATTTGTATATTTTTCTTCCTCCTCTGTTTGCTTATGTTGTTGTTTTTCTTTTTCTTGTTTCTTATCAAATTAATTCCATGTTACTGATTAATCGAAGATGAATTTTGATTATGTTTCTGTCAGAAAAAAAAATAACGTTTTAAGATGGTAATATATATATATATATATATATATATATATAATATATATATATATATATATATTATATATATTCATTCATTCATTTAGTTCATTAATTCAATCATCATATATTCTTCTCTCCTCCATCCACCCCCTCCCCCCCCCCCCTCCACCCTCTCCTAACCCCCCTCCCCCTCCTCCCCAGCCGACGCCGTGGACCTGTGCCGCACGCGCCCCCTGGGATCCCCCCTGGCCGACCTGACGAGCCAGTGCCACAACTACACGGTGTGCGAAGAGCGAGGCGACGGGGGCGTGGCGGAGCGGAGGCTGCCGTGCAAGAAGGGCTTCCTGTTCTCGCAGCTGAGGCGGCGCTGTGTTCCTGAGAAAGGTGAGAGGGTGGGCGGTCTTGAAGAGGGTGAGGGAGGGGGGGGGTGCTTAATAGTGCTTTCTTAGTGGTTAAAAGTGTGGTGTTAAGAGTGCTTTCTTAGTGTTTAAAAGTGTTATTTTAATAGTGCTTTCTTATTATTTTAAAATAATGTGTAAAGTGTTCTCTTATTACATAAAAGTGCTGTTTTGATAGTGTTTTCTTAGTGTTTTAAAATGTTGTCTTAATAGTTTTCTTATTATTTTTGGTCTTGATATTGGTAGAGTGATGGTTATTATTATCGATAAGGTAGTGTTACTGTTGTTAATTTTGCATTGTAGTTTGTATAAGTGGCATTATGTAGTCCAAGTGACTATTTTCCCACAACTTTGAGCACGCACTGAGACCTCCTTCCGCCCCGGCAGGTGAACTGCGCCAAGGAGACCCTCGGAGAGATCCTGGGCCTGGGCGGCGCGAGACAGAGCCCCTCCGGCAGCAGCAGGAGGCGGCGCGCCACTTCCCTGCTTCTGTCGCACAGGTTCCGCCGGGCCGCCCTCACGCCCCTGGCCAACCTGGTCCCGACCCACGGCGTTGAGGACGCGCGCGTGCGCCGGGCTCTGTACAGCCTGGCGGCCCTGCAGCAGTGGGCGCAGGAGAACGCCCGCCACACGGCCTTCATCAACGTGTACACCCTGAACACGCGAGGCAAGGACGGCCTCTTCCCCAAGAAGGCCTTCGGCGACGGCGGCGCGGCCCCCCCTACGGCAGCCAGGAGGGGCGCAGGTACGGCTACATCGGCCGCAGCAAACGAGACGTGAACAACGTGACCGTCGCGGAACAGGTGCTCCGCGCGAACGAAACCAAGATCGCTGGGCTGGCCCCGGACGCCCTCGGCGGCCCGGCGGACGTCCGCGAGGAGCCCCGGCCGGCCCCGGAGGCGACCGGCCACGCCGTCATCGGAGTCGCCCCAAAGACGACCGTGGTGCGGCACACGTCGGCCCCCGCGTCCGTGGTCCACCCCGTCTCGAGCACCGTGGCCTCGGCCGCGCCCTCGCTGCTCACGGCGCTGTCCACTCTCACCATCACCGAGGCTTCGACGCGCACCTCCAAGACGACCACGTCGACCACCACGGTCACAGTGACGCCCTTCACCGTCACCGTCACCACGACGGAAACCAAAATCGTCCCCACAGAAACAGCGACGGTGATCACGAACCAGTCGTCGGGAAGCCCGGCGAGCACTGCAGCGCCTTCGCTCATCGCAGAAACCAGTCCTCTCCCGACCGTGTCCCTGTCGCCCACCGTCGCGTCTGTCGTCAACTCGGCGGTCACGGAGAGCCTAAGCATCGACAGCAGCAGTCCCTCGGAAACCAAACCCGAAGCCGTGACTCCTGTCACCGAGGCCAGCTCCTCCACTCCGGGAGTTCCTCAAGAAGCAAGTATTAGCAAGGAAGTAACTACTACAGCCGCTCCCGAGGCACAAAACACAACCACAACCACAACTACTACAACAAGTACCACTACAGAAGCAGTAGTAAGTTCAACTGTAGGAACCACCACAGCAAGCTCTTCTACAGAATCCTCAGCAGTAGAAACACCAGTGAATTCAAATGCAGAAAACACTACAGTTACTACTACAACAGAAGCCACCACTACAACAGAAGTTACTACTGCAGCGGTATCTTCTGCACCACAGGCAGTAGGGAATTCAACAACAGAAAGTACCCCAGTTGCTTCCTCAACAGAGCCAACCGTGGCAGAACCAGCGATCAATTCCACGGAGGTAAAAGCACTCGACAGCAGTCCTGAGACCTCAACTACAACCACCACTACTTCTCCTGCTGCCAACGCTTCGACCTCAGGGACGACTGCCAGCCCGGCCCCCGCCTCGTCCTCCCCAGACGCCGCCGCACCCGCCTCGGAAGACGCCTCAGCCGCCAACGCCACGGCCACGACCAGCCAGCCGCCAGACTTCACCGTTCCTGAGGGAAGCATCAATGTGTCCACCACGGTCGTGCCTGGCGAGGCGGACGCGCTGGGCAACGGGACCCTCGTCCAGCCGACGCCAGCGCCTCCCACGCTGGGCACCTTCACGAGAGACAACCTCCCCGAGACGAGCTTCACTTGCAAGGACAAACAGCTGGAGCAGTTCTACCCAGACCCGGAGGCCAACTGCCAGGTGTTCCACTATTGTTCACCAGGGTTTGTCAAACAGCAGGTGCTGGATTTGAAGTTCCTCTGCACCGGCGCCACAATGTTCGACATAAACACCCAGAAGTGTGAGGATATGGCTAATGTCACCTGCAGCTTTAATGACACTGTTACAACACCACCACCTCCTACTGAGCCACCAACCACCCCATCAGAAGAACCGACAACAACAACAGTAATCACATCTTCATTAACTACAACAGTAACTACACCCACCACAACAGCAAACACAACAGTAGCGCCATCAACTACAACGGAAGCGGTGCCAACCACAGTGGCAGCTGCAGGAGACACAACAGAAACCACAACAACCACAACAGAAGCCTCTACAACCACAACAGAAGCCTCTACATCCACAACGGAGGCACCGCATGAGGTCCATCATAACTGGAATGCTACAAAGCCGGACGTAAAAGCCAACGAAAGCCTTGTCGAGGAGAAGGCAGCAGAGATCGAATTGTTCGAAACCACAACCGTGGAAACGGAGGTGAGAGAAGTGACCGAAGTAGACTTGCCTGAAACTGAAACCGTAACAGATAGAGCTGCAAGGGAAGAGGTTTCAACCAGTACCGAGGGCTTCGAGGAGGCTTTCGAGACGACCACAGAATACTTTCTGGTGGAAGAGCCGGAGATCAACACAGAGCTCGGCCCGATCGTCCTCGCTCCGGACTCCGCAGAGCAGCAGCCCGTGGAGAGCCCAACGAACCCCGAAATTTCAGAAACGTCCGAGGCGCCAGAGACCTCCAGCAGCACAACAACGCCCGTCCCAGAACCCACCACAGACGCGTCCACACAGGAGAGCATATCGCCCCAGACTCCAGCGCCCACAGAAACCGTGCCGCTGACGGAGGAGGCCCCCTCGGCCAGTGAGGAGCTGGAGTCGAGCGTCGTGTCGATAGCCAGGAACGCCTCCGAGTCGACCCACACCGCTTCGACGTCGTCCACCGAAGCGACCCTGGCGGAGGCGGCTTTGTAGGGGCCATCGCGCCATTGGACTTGAAGGGTATTAAATGGCGTGCTGCGAGTCGCGCCTGTAATAACTTTATTAATTCTTCTTCTCTTTTTTGGGGTTTATTTATTCTGAGAGATTATCAGTGACATAGGTTTATGTGAGAGTTATACCTGTTACCCGTGGTATTCTGTGCCAAAAAATATTTACCTACTCTGGTTCAAGGAGCAGAAAACATTCCAAAAAGGTATTATTTTCATCACTGTGATACGTTGCTGATGTAAGTATTCGTGAAGAAAAAGGTTTTTTTTAAACCATTAATCCAATAATATAACTTTCTTTTTTTTTAATCTTAAAGAAGTGACACAAACCCTAGACCATAATTTGAACAGTCACTCTTTTTTGTCATGTCATATTATGGGGGGAAAATCTTGAAAGACGAAACATGAGGTAAATTAACTTAAGCAACCCTAGCATGAAGGCCAGTGATGGGATGTGATAAGATAATTAAGGTAGCCGTGTCAGCCAATTAAAACTCCATTGAACAGCTTCCCTACGATGGACTCTGTATAAAGAAATGTCTGTTATTATTATTGTACCGCATGATAAGTTGTTAGTAATTTTGAGTCAGATAAGGTTGTGGCATATTAGGCTAGTAGGTGACTTAGAAATGGACTTGAGGTATATGATATGTTAAAGAAAATGTATTTATTTGGGAAATTTGATTTAAAAAAAAATAAAAATGTTTTTTTTATATGTACTGAATTGACGCGACTACCAGCCACCTTTTTTTTTTAACTCGTTTGTACCCTAAAGTGGCATTTCTATACTAACCCCTTTCTGGTTTATTGTTTAAGGATTATATTTATATGTAAATAGGATTATCCCCAAGTCCATTTTTGAGAGCCTTCCAGGGAAAACCGTCTCCTGCTATTTAGTTAACAGACTCAGCCTTACTAGCAATTTATGAGGGATTAATAGACACGTGGGTGACAGAGGGAGTGGCTGCGACGGACTACGGACTATTATTAACCCTTTCAGTTCAGTTACAGCCGAAGAAAGAACAAGTTTGTTTATTTTTTATTGTCTTTATTACTGGATATTACACATTAAATCACCATTGAAATCCGTCAATGTTTCAGTTGATAAGCAGAGTTTGCATGGCATTCTATACATATATATAATATATTATATATATATATATATATATATATATATATATATATATATATATATATGTATATATATATGTATGTATGTATGTATGTATGTATGTATGTATGTATGTATATCTACGTACATATGTATATATCCCACGATGAAACGAATCCCAACATTCCTTTAGAACATTTTAATCGCAGAACAACCGTAGAAAACCCAATTAATAGATTTTTTTTTTTGATAAGCCACCGAATTTTAATTTCAATGATTCACAAGCACACGCAGTAACTTAACCCGCTTTGATAGCAAGAGATATAGAGCAGAATTTTCTCTTTTCTTCATTATCTCGGCCTATCATTATAGTGAGATTTTTTACATATTACAGTTTATGATGAGAAAGCTTCGAGAGCAAACTTCGGCGATATAAATAATATAATTTTTTTTTTTTTTCTCTATCTCCATTTTTTTTTTTTTTTTTTTTTTTGTCCTTTCTCGTAATACAATAAGATACATATTTTCCTTACCTTTGAATGAGATATCTTTTTTATAATCACTGTCACAATATAGCGAAACATCTTTTTCTAGTTAGCACAGACTTTAATACACATAGTATGTCATTAACATCATCTCCTTGTATATTGCATCAATATCAATCACATCAGATAGATAAACATTTAAAAAAAAAGTAAAAGTCTGTTTCTTATGATGATGATTAAAAGTTTATTCATTAAGAGCGTTTTTGCATATTAAAAAATTGGCTGATTTTAGTTTGTTAGATAATTGCCTGTTAATATTATATATACGTGATCTTATGCATGTAACAATCATTATTAAAAAAAACATGCATATATTTACGAGTATATAAGGACTTACCTCCTGTTTTTTTATGTATTGTAAATTTGTTTTTTTTTTTTCTCCTACTTATTGGGTGACCTAAAAAGTGCATAATATATACGAGACGAATGCACTTTCCAGCAGTTAACATCAACGGTAACTAACATAGGTAAGGTAAAAATTTAAGCCTCTTTCATCCTTTCATTGAATCGTGTGAAATTTCTGGACATTAGGTACTGTTTTAATGCATCATTTGCCATGCTAAGTGATATTTTGAAAGCGTGTGTCATTGTTGAGATGGAATGTGTAATATTTTTATAAAACAGAATCAGATATCAAGTAGTGTTAAGTACACAAACAATGGTTTATATAAGTAACATTGAACTTGGACGATGAGGGGTCAAGGCAACCAAATTGTATCACAGCAGAAGACACTTAAAATCTAATCGTCATTTTAAGCGAGATTTGTTATTGTTTACGGAAACCCAGAGAGTAGTAACCAAAAGAATTGAGATGCCTGTCTTCCAGGTGCTTGCAATAACGTATTACTGTTATAATACACATATTTTGTAACTAGTGAGGAGGCGAGGGAAGGGTCAACACTTTTGCTTGACGTTCCCTCAGCCTAAAACATGTTCCTTTTTGACACAGAAGAAGAAAAAGTGAAAAGGTCTTTTGAAGAAGGATTTTCCTGCTGAGGTAGACGGATCTCACACTAGGTTCATGTTATCATTGCCATTTTATAGAAGCAAAATTTTCTTTTTATTGATGTTATACCCCGACTCACTCAGATTTCATACTCAATCCCCGTGTACCTGACCAACAAAATCCTTTTTAAAAGCATTCCCTCCTGCTATAAGGCAATTTTTAAGAGATTAAAATGGAAATCATGTAAACAAACTTGCACATGGCTTAATCTTTCTTATACTGATGACTTGTCTGGGCCATATGCAGCGTTTGAAGAGGAAGAAAACCGGTGACTAGATAGAGAGAGAGAGAGAGAGAAGACAAAACAGTTACAGATTTAAATAAGTTTTGTGGATGTGTTTGGATGAGAGAAAAGGCATAATAATACAGCGGTGCATGAATCTGTATTGTACGATGGTTAGTTCCTCTTTGACATGAAAAAAAAAATGAATAAAAAGGTGTATGTGGCTATTTTCGCGTTGGTAAAGCCGTGAAGAAAGTGGGTCAGGTAGAGGATTATAATTAAGAATCTCATGTCACTCCATATGAAACTGAGAAGGTCATAGCGTAAAGACCAGACGAGATAGGCACCCATCAGTCCACATATCCTTAGAGGTATCCAAACGCATCCATTTTTGTTAGTAATGTGTAAAGAACTCAGTGACGAAAAAAAAGCCTTTAACACACTTCAACAAGGTTCAAGTTCACCACACTGTAAATAGAAGATGAACCTTGTTGAACCCTCATTTAAGGTTTTACACCAAACTGTAAAGTAAAATGAGCATTGGCTGCTTTTTCTTGCATTTGTGATTATGATATTTATTATAGCATATATCATCCTGTGTTATTTCTATTACTGTTTCCTTGGCTCGTAATAAACATGGTGACTTCATGTTCAACGGTTGTTTCAATAACATTTTCCCTTTTGTTATTAAGTTAATGGTAAACTTAGCCGTTGATTTTAGTTGTTGTTTTTTCCTTCAATAAATATTCTGTAATATTCAAATTTTGAACCTTGAAATTTCCTTATTATTATAAAATTATTGTCAAATTTGGCTATTGATTTTTTTTCATCAAATATTCAGTAATATTTAAGTTTTGACCCGAACTTTTTGGAAACAAACATACTTATATACGTGATACAGACTTTTACAATTGCGACACCTGGCAACTCGAGATGATTTGTTTACACTCGTGTAGAAAAGTTATGAATAAATATTTAAATAACCGGTTATTTTTTTCCAATCGTTAAATCATATCCACTTACAATTATTATTAGAATTAGTATTAGTATTATTGTTATTATTAGTAGTAATATTAGTATCATAATTCTGTAGCATATTTCACCTTCTTGTCAATACGAATTCTTCAGTTGATATTTTAACGATTAAATTATTAATGAACAGTATTCGAAAGTCTTGTTCTTAAATTGATATAAGCATTATGAAAGAAAATAAATATTCTCAAAAATAGCACCGACCAGACATGAATGTTGCCAATTTAAACCTAGACTCAACATTTATTTTCAAAAAGTACAATTTTTTTTTTTTTCCTAATGGCACAAATCAGGTATAATGATAAATATGTCGTCTGTTTATCATCAAGATAAATGATAAAAAAAGCAACCTTCATCTAATTAATCCAAATAATGATAAAATTGATATCAACATTAATTATTTTATTCATATATTATCATATCGTATTTTTTTTTTTTTTTTCTGTCGTTTCGTTGGAATTTCCAAACAGACATCTTGCAAGAATTTGAAAGAAATGACAATAACATCAAAAGAATAATTGAATAAGCTGATAAATATGAACAAAATAGATAGAAATAAAACAGCAAATTGAGTTTTTGTTTTCTATGATAAGTTATTAGCAGAATCAGTCAAAAATCTGTCAATTTGTTCCTTATTGAAATGGAATATGGTACAATATACCATATTTTTGATGCTCTGTTAAGTGAATTTCATTCTAATTTTCCATTCTATTCTTTATTTTACCGTAAGAGAGTTTTATCAATGTAGAATAAAAAGGAAAAAAAAAAATATTTGAAGAAAAATTCATGTCTTTATTCTTTCATTATTTTCTCTTTTCCTTTTTGATTACTTAACCAAATGTATATCATATAATCTAAGAAATTTATGAAAATATTACTAGTGCATAATGTATGGACAGCAAAACAGTGTCTTTTCTTCAACTGCTCAGTCAAAACAGTTAAAAATATCAGAAGTTTGGGCCAATTACCTTAATTGTAAGCGTTAATATGCATAACAGTTTATGAACTGAATATATTGTGTATATATACATATATGCAGACGATACACGACCACACATAGCTAAAACGAGGAGAGAGAGAGAGAGAGAAAGAGAAAGAGGGAGAGGGGAGGGAAGAGAAGAGAAGAGAGAGAGAGAGAGAGAGAGAAGAAGACAGACTGACAGAGAAAAAGAGAGAAAAAACAGATACAGACGACAGACAGAAGACAGAGAGAAGACAAAAAAGATAGACAGGCAAGACACAACAGAGATAAGAAGAAAAAGACAAAACAGACGGAGACAAAAAAACAGCACGAAACAAAGAACGAAAGAGACAGACATACAGACATCAGACAAAACAAGAAAAAGAAACAGACAACAGACTGACAAGAAAGCAGACAGAAAGACAGACAGACAACTGACAAAGACAACACAGAAAGACAAGAAACAAACAGACAGACAAAGACAAGAAACAGACAGACAGACAAAGACAAGAAACAGACAGACAGACAAGAGCGCTTCCCGCCTTTAACCAGAACGCGAGGCATCCATCGCCTGTGGACCCATTGATATTCCAAATATTCAGCCCCATCCCGCTCTCCATGTGAATAATCATCGCTATATTATTAAGCAGAACGACAATATTCTCGACCCCTGGTTCCGTGGATCCCACCTCCCCCTCCCCTCTCCCCTGGTCCGTGGTTGGTACCCCCTCCCCCCCCCCCCTTCCCCTCCCCCTGTCCGGCGACCCCCGACCCCCTCCCTCCCTCCCCCCTTCCCTTCCCCTTCCGCCCATCCCCCCCCCCCCTCCTCCCCCCCTTCCCCCTTCCCCCTTCCCCCTTCCGTGGCTCGCGACCTCCACCCCCCCCCTCCCTCCCTCCCCTTTCCCTCGACCCCTGTTCCGTGGATCGGTTTTTCTCTTTTTTTTTAACATTTTTCATTCTTTTTTTCTATTCATTTTTTCGATTTTCAATTTTTTTCTTTCTTTATTTTGATTTCTTTTTTCATTTTTTCTTTCTTTATTTTTTCTATTCTTTATCATTTTTATCTATTCTATCCATTCATTTTTTTCTCTCGTGATTTTCTAAGAAGATACGAAGATGGAAAAGAGAGAGAAAAAGAAAAAGAAAAAAGAGGGAAAGGAAGAAAAAAAAAGAAAATAAAGAGAAAGGGAAAAAGCAAATCAAAAAGAAAGAAGGCAAGAAAAATCGAGAAGTATGAAAAAGAAAAGA